ACGGGCAAAACCGTTATATATATAATTAACATCTCCCCAACGCAAAAATACATCTTGAAAACAACAGATGATGTTTTTCTTTGTTACAGAACAGACCCATCGATTCTCTCTTTGCCGGACACGTCGTTGTCGAACTCAAACTTACTCTCATCCTAAAGGCAATTCTAATTCTTGAGGTAAGTTATTCTCTCGCGCACGTCTTGAACGGGGACGGAAGGAGAACTCCAGGGTACTTCCGTAATCTTGTTTGGGCATTGTAAACTTTATTTTTCATTAAGCTTTGATTGCTAGAACGACCATACATGCACAAATAGATACGTGTTTCTGAACTAGGCCTGAGTATGGCCCTAATTTCTTGCGATTTTGCTCCATTTTAACGACAGGAAAACCAAGGTGATAACTTTAGCCTTTCAATCGATATTGAAGATCTCAAACTGGCTCTCATCTTGAAGGCGATCGACGTTCTTGAGGTAAGTTTTTTTACATCACCAATTGCACTCGAACTGAAATAAAAATTTAGGCAGTTAAGCCAGTTATGACAAGATGACATATTCACCGCTGACAGAAAGACAAATTCACAAATAATCACACACCAAATGAATATTCACGGATTGCATAAAGCTTTTAAATTTTGAAAGCGGTAGCATGTAAGAACTTTGGACAAAAATTAATAAAGAAAAAAGGTAGTTAAAAGATGGGTTTTCCAGATATTCGTTTTTAAAACAGCCCCCGGACATTTTCCTGACAACTTATAAAACAGTTATTTACCTTTTCCCTAATATTACTAACGGTTAAACTGAAAAATATGTAACTGCTCGTTGGGAACTCTGTTGCCAAACATTTTTCAGTGCAGTGCCTATTTTTATAAAAATGGAGTCCGCTTCCTGCAATTTATTTGTGCACATCGTGCGCCACCAAGAGTTTGCAGCAGCGCGTTTGCCAATTACAATTCGCGAAGTCTGGGCCGTTTTCCAATACTCGACTTGGGCTCCGTCTGTGGCTTCAACTGTTTTCTACTTCCTTGCTTTGAGGTTGTAAGCGCAATAGCAATTCTGATAGTGCCACAAAACATCAAGTAAGATGCAAAAGAGCCAAATTACAGAGTATTTTAATTTAATTTAAACGCTTCATGCCCACAATCGGGGATTGGTTTCCTACACGAAGCCCCAGGCGGAGGCGAAGTTGAGTATTGGAGAACGGCCCTGTCGATCAAATGTGCGTTTGGAAAGGGTCGGCAGATTTCCCTCGTTGTGATTGGCCAATGCGTTGCAAACTCTTGACGGCGCACTATTGTGAATCGCCCATATTATCGAACTGTTACTGCGCAGATCTATAATGGTGACTACAAGGATACTGTGTTTTTCACCGAGTCCAAGGAAGACCTCAAACTTGCACTGATCCTGAAAGCAATCACACTGCTCAAGCAGGGGAACTGGCCCATCGACGTCGACGACCTCTGGCCAATGGGAGAAGAGGATGAGGACCAGGGGTCAGAGGACAGCCAATCAGAGGCCCCCACTCTTGAAACAACGACCGAGGGTGCGGAAACCACTGAGGAGGCTTCGACATCCCGCCCGTTAACGACGGTCGCAGACCGTGGGGTTGACGAGTCTACTAAAAAACCCTGGCTGAAGAAAGGAATCAGCAAAGTCTTCAAGTGGTTCAAGTGGATCCCAAAAGTCATCCACAAGAAGAAACATCTTATTTTCCACTAAGACTGTGGAACTGTGTGACTGTAATGCATCATAACTTGCCAGCATGAATTTTTAGTTCTAGACTTGTAGTTTCGTTTTGTAGTTTTGTATTTATCAAGCTATCTAACCTACTAACAGACTGTGACCTCGCCGTGCATATCTCTTTGAACATTGGTTTTAGTGCGAAAAATAATAATAAAACAGATGGAATGACACGTTCGAATACATATTCACCTATGGCCCCCTTTAATGGTGGGAAGCACTGTGTACGGTATTATACGAAGCGACTGTCGGGAAATAATAACTCAACACGACAGTCGTCACAAAACTCATGGCCATTGGTGGGGGCCACTGCCAGTTACCCGTGACAGTGTTACTACGTGGTCATCAGATTCATCTATAGCTTTGTGTGCTTATGCATCGTTATGGTAGTTAATTATTTTATATTACTGGTAGAACCAGTTCATGACAAGCGAAGCATTGCACAAGTAACGTCCCTCAGTCGAATGACCAACTAACACTGGTCCACTTCCCAGCTTGTCTTTGTCAGGATGGTATGATGGCCAACGAAGTCTGTTTGAATGGCACCACATTTGGGGGATTAAAATATTTCGCAGTTACTGGGTTTCCACTGAATATTTACCGATGTATAGAACGTTTTTGTTTTATTTGGTTCATTTTAATAAAATAAATAGTAATGGCAAACTAAATTTTAATCTGTGTTTTTCTGATGAACTTTTGTGTCAAGTTTCTCCTATCTTTTTTTCTATAAATTCCTGGAAAGGACAATCGACAAATGCTCAGTTTGGTCTTGATAAAACTTGCGCTAGCCCCGTGAAGTAAATCTCTTTTGCGAGTAGAGTTCTGAAACGAACCAGTCGGTTTCTTAATCTCTTTTGGTTCCTCGTCAGCATCAGGTTGGCGTAATTTCAGTGAGGCATCCAGGTATTGGATCGAGAGAGGCAAAAAAGATTCCCTCCCAAGCAACTGTCCTATCTCTACATGAGAAATGTGCAGAGTGTCTCCCGCAGGAGGGGAGTTCCTCCCCCCCCCACGCTGGATACACCACAGCGTAAAGTTCATTAACAATGTTGGCTCCCTCTTCCCTCACCCAGGTCCCTGGCACGCGTGTTCCAGAAACAAATTCCCACAGTGTGTTATGACAAGCAGCACAAACAGAGAACCCCGAATGAATGATGAGAGGTAATTGGCTCCTAGATGAAATAATTCACGGGAACTGTCGACGCGTCTGGGGCTCCAGCGGAAAGTAGGCCGTGGGTGAAGTCATTAGTCACTGGAGTTGACATTTGTGTTTGTGTATGTTTTGAACTATTAAGTTGCCCCGTGTGTTTTGCGTGTACTTTCGCTGCCAGACAGCCTGTGTTAGTTGCGCTCAGTTTAACTGGCATTTGTGATGAAAAAGTCGGGAAAGCGTGGAATGAAGGCGATAAAGTAATGAGTACTTAAACGGGATGTTATCTCTTTCGATCGCATCAAAAGGGCGTGGTTCGTTTCCCTTATTATCGCTCGCACCACTCTCTTTGAGAAATCTACTGATTTGATCTGAGTTTGGTGGTTATGGACTCAAGAGCAAACGTGGTTTTCCAGTTGTACTAACCTCTTTCTGTGATCTATATTGAAAGACAAGAGAACAAAGTAAAGCCACGGTGGCAGTCGGCGACTTGCAACTTATACAAAGTCACAAAAATTAGGTTAATTCCATCCTTTTGAAGCGGTCGCCGTCATTTTTCAGCATCACCGGCCATCTGTCTAGCCGACGGGCTGTCGACAGAGCTGACGCCACGGTCTGTGTTTCTCCGTCCGCGGTCGGCACGGGCGAAATCTCGGCCTAAAGCTGCCGCGCCAGACCCGCTGACAGACTGGCACACGCAAATGCGCTCCGCGCTGTCCTCGCGACGACGTTTGAGAGAACCTGGATGGCAAAAACAGTACTTTTCCCACCAAAGTCTGGCGTTCCATTGTATTTTGTCGATGGATAAAGAAGTCTTGACATGCCCATGAAGTGCTGGTTATGTGCTCCTTTCAGTCTAGGTGGCTCAATTAATTAAGAAAACACCGGCTATATACCACTGTTGCATTCCGAAAACCCTTTAAAGGTACACCGCCAATCAAAAGCCACAACTTGCTCATTTCAACCTTTTTTTTCAACGCTCCACTTTCCAACACAGCGGGTCGGCTTTCATCATCAGAAGGAAAAAAAAAGATTGCCACAAAAGATCAACGGACCATTGACCCACACGTTATCAAAGCGAGTCATTGGAGGGTATATCTTCAAACGGCCCGGTCGATTCTCACCGTGAAAGGTATTCGCCCAAACCGCTGTCAGGAAGGATCACTGTCCAGCCTCAAAGCGCTGGTGTTGAAGGGTTTTGGTTTCCAAAGCCACAATGACTTGTTCACACCCCTTTAAGAAGCTAACTACAGATAGCTTTAATTAAATTTGATGTTCGAGGCCGGCGTTTATCCGTTTGAGGTCAAGCCGCCTCCTCTCCCTGGAGTCTCCGGTTAAAGTTTCTTGCTGGAAGAAACAGAAAATTGCGCCCGATTTCCATCTCCTATTTGAATAGACGGTGGTCAGTAATCTTAGAATTGTAATTATGGAGTTGAAAAGTTAGTCATCAACTCACAAACAGGACGAAGCCTTGGAAATTCGGCGTCATCTTTTTAGAAAAAAAAAGAGGTCTGTTGTAAGCGACGCACATGTAAAAGTTGGCCATTTTGGAAGGCAAGCCTCCACAACATTGATTGCCTTCCCCATATGATGAAGAGCATTTGACTTCCTGCAAAATGTTTAATCAATTAATGTTAACATACCTTAGACATAATAATAGGCAATGGACATCTTCGAAAGTGCGTCAACATTGGATAATCATAGGAACCAAAATGCTTTACAACAAACCACCAACATCTAGAAACTTCAGATTAAAGCATTTGAGCAAATCGAAAAATACATCGATTGATCGTCCGGATCATTTGTGAAGAGAGAACAGGGCAATCCTTATACATTCAAAACGACCGGCAACCTTTTGGTTAAAAATATGTGCAAGATTTGGATCAAATATTAATTCTATTTATTAGCTAATCACCCACAAACAGTGCATCCACGTACAAGTTTATGTCTTATTGCATTAACACAGACCATGGACTTTGGGGGCAATACCTTATGCGATTAAAAAATAAAGTTTCAAACGATCAACTTCACGAGCAATGGTTTGTTACATGGCCTTTTTTTCCTTCCACTTTCACTTGTTAATGAAGCTCGTCTAACAGAACACTCCTGTCAAATTCCCATAGCTCATACTTGACCTAAAGGATTGATGAATTGAATTTCTTTGAGGTCGACTCATCTCCACCGAGCAACGGCCATCAAACACTGCTGGCTGTGTGTCGTTTCACCGTGTCGCACATCACCTACTTCAATTATACATAGTGGGAGCATGTAAAGCAGCCCTCCTCCAACAATTAAGGATTAGCAAATCATCCATTATCCTGTCCGTCCTCTCATCTCACCCCAAGGGGGTAATCTTCAGACGGCCTTTTCAGCAGACAGATCTTGATACCATTTTCCCCGATGGCAACAAACCACACACCATTGCCGGCGGAAAAAGAAGGAAAAAACTCGGCATCGGCGGCAGCCAACACGCACGGTCAATGAAAGAAAAAAAAATCCTCATGAATATTAAGTAGCCGGAACCCCTTTGATCGCGATTGTTGACCAATGGGGGAGGCGGTATCATGATCTCTCCTTGTCACTCCGCTGTTATGCTGCTTGTAAACTGGCGAATTACACCCCTACAGCTTGTAACAACCCACTTCAAGGGACAGGACCACGCTCCAAGTTTTCGTCGTCTTTGCTACATCAGGATATTTTTCAGAATTACATCTCACTCTAGGAGTCCCCAGTGTTCCTGACAGGTTAATTAACTTGGTCATCTTGGAAATTTCCCGAGTTAGTTTCTCCCCCTCTGTCAGGAAATACTTCACTCTAGGTTTAAAATTAAGATGCAGGAGAGACGGTTTACTCATCTGGTCGTCTGCGGTCTGTTCCTCTTCATGATGCCTTCTCAAGTTGTATCGACGTGGTGGTGAGTTGAACGATTTCTTGTGTTAAATTTTGTGGTAACACTGAGTTCACGCTATTGTGTAGCGAAAATAACCAAAGAACTACTCATGGGAGAGACGGAGAGACAAAACATGCTCATTGCGCCCTGGCTCCAGATATATTTGGATCCTAATTACGACCTCAACATCAACCAACGAGAAACGCGGGCCAAATCTAAAAAATTGCCTTACGCCTTGATGCCGTTACCGAATTGAACCTGCAAACATAATTTAATCTTACTTCAAAGATGGACATTTTGGCTTCACGTGAACGTTGACAATCAACGCAGGAAAACATGCTGTCAGAGACAATGCAACACTCTCGTCACTGGTTTATTGTATGAAGCAAAGTTATCGAGTAGTGCACATTTTCCTGGTATTGGAGGGAACTGGTTTTACTGCAGAACTGAAACTTAATTATGACAGTGAGACTAGACGTCCTCAGAGATCGAATTTTCCAGGTTGCGATGTTCGGCCTCAGATAAGACGCCCAAGAGATGTGGCATCCCCTCACGGACGCAGACCTCACACCGAGCGACAGTGTTAGCCCCGATCCGGTTTAGCGTCTCAAGTGTTTTTAACTGCGTTGGACGGGGAGGGTCCGTTTTTGTTTGATGGGGGAGGCATTTGTGAAGTTAATCTCTTGTATCCTTGTACTTGTGGTTTTTTGGTACATGACAGATGAGAAGGATGATTGATTCTTTGGCAGTGCTCTGTATAAAAGGAACTTATGGGTGCCGTTGATGCAGAGCCTTATACAGCCTGTTAAATTTTGTTAGACTCAGAACTTTGTGTGGTTTTGTTTATTATCATTTTCCCATAAATATTTTGCTTCCTTGTTATTAGAACATGAGTTTGTTTGCTTGTGATCAAACGAGAAGACTATTTCTACAGCAAAAAAAAATAAAAATAGGAGTTGAACAAGAAATTTACGACGACTTTAATCCTCCTGGCTGTTTTTAAAAGAGCAAGAGTGGCAAACCTGGCCGTAAAGTGACCTCAAAAAGGCTGCTATATACTTGACGCCAAAGCAAACATGAACACGAAATTGTGATGTCAGATCAAAGATTCACGCCTCGAATTCGCCAAAGTTGAACACATTTGAAGTGGAGCTAATTTCGCTGTAAATATTTTGTGATGTGAATTTCACTTTCCTTTGGCGTTCACCCGAGGTATGAGCCGGCTTTAAAACTTGCTGAATACTATTGTTTTTCAAACCGTTTATTTAATTAGTTCCTGGCGTCTTTTGCATAAGATACGAGCCGTCTTTTACAGTGCTATTCCGCTAGTGATGGACTTTTTTTGGTCCGAACCCACGATATAGGTTTATCAGTCAACTCAGCGCGGTAGGCACCCGTATCATGTGCGACAACATCCCGGGGTTGGTGGGCAAGCAGCGGGAGCTGTGCCGGAATTACCCGGACGTAATGGTCAGCATTGGCCGAGGGGCCCGGGAGGGCGTGAAGGAGTGTCAGTACCAGTTCCGCAACGGTCGCTGGAACTGCAGCACCATGGACAGGGACACGTCGGTCTTCGGCAAAGTCATGCTAAAAAGTGAGTACATGTGCATAACTGCTTGACGATTTCACCCCAGGAATGGTTTATGAAGGAAGCTCCTGCTTTCGCGTTGAGATCTATTGAAGTCCGTCACACCCTCATTTGACATTATAATTGCATGGACATTGTACAATATTGCACCTCCTTCGCGAGATGCAATTGTGATAAAATCTCACAAAATGAACCATCTTTTTTTCTCTGTGTCATTGTGGGTTAGACAGAACAAATTGCGTGGGCGAAAAATGTTTTTGGTTTAAAGGCTTTTGGCTCAGAAATGGCCATTTCAACTTATTTTGTAAGATTGGGCTCGGAAGAGGAACGCAATCGTAACAGAAATCTGTGATGATTTCAAATTGTAAGCACCATTTTTAGAAAGATTCAAAATACTTAGGCCACCATGCTTGGATCTAAAATGAACCTCATCGGAGAAACATGAAAGAAATATAATAAAGGATGTCAGATGACATAATAGAGTTTCCGCGCTCAGGGACGAGTTGAGCAGTTGGCAACCTTCATTTTCCCGGCACTTGCTCGGTTCTCCGGCCCCATGCATGCAGCTCGGGGCTACGGTGAACTCATCTCATCGTGACATCCAACAAAAGCCAGCGAAGAGGAGCCGAAAATGACTGTTTGTTCGCCGCAAATTGAACCCTTTGCAAATCGTGAGGATGACTCCTTCAGACTTTTGTGGCAGGTCTTGACGGGGCACAGCACTAACCGTTGACATTCTTTTCAGACCGTACACCTTTAGGTTTTTTGTCTGACTAGGTATAGGGGGAAAAGAAAGAAGGAAAGAAAGAAAGAAAAAAAAAACCCTCTGTGTTAATGATTATTCCTGGCCTTTGCTGGCCCGGAATAGAACACCTGTGGTTGATGTAATTTTTGTCATAATGCTGGGGATCAGTGACGCACCTGACAAATGCCACCGAGCAGACCGACTTGGCAACAACATGGCGATGATTCATCAATGTTCCCAGAATCTGGTCTGGAATGCAGAAGAGATGGCAAAACAGCCGCAAACCAAATCTTAGCTTTCCGCGGAAGTTCGATTATAGGGTTAACGGTAAAAAAAGGAGGGAATATCCAACAGAAAAAAACCTCTGCTTGGGTGAGTTCTCGAGAAGTACGGATTGAATTTATCTCCTATCTGATCTCCTGAGACTTTTAAGTTCGCCTGGCCGAGTAGACTGGGGTTTTCCTCTGGAAGCATGAACTGACGGTGGCCATTGTGTCCTCTCAAACCATACTATTTCGGGGTCAAGTATGCGCCTAACCTGGGCCCGTTTCTGCCTCGGTGGTCGGTTGCAGACGCAACCCCAATATTGCGCTTCCATCCTTCCTAATCGCATTAGGTCGCCCAAGTATCTTTGCATCCACACCGGGGAATTTACAGCGTGCCTAGTACATCACGAAATGTCACTTTTGCTTTTTTTGTTTTGTTTTTTGTTTTTTTGTTTTTTGCTTTTTAAAGATGTCGATCCGGTCCGGCCCTCAATATTTAGTCAGACATTCCTGGGATTTGTCCCGATGACAGAACTCTCGTAATAGTCATCCACCCACTTCAGTGGGTGGACCATCTGCAAGCAGGGTTCAGGACCAAATTGCAGGCCCGGGAAAGGAGGACCACTGGTAATCTCGCCCTTGAAATTCGATTTGGGAGAGATTAGGGTGAATTTGGAAGTAAGCCGCCCCACTAGACTTGTGACATTAACAACTTTCACTGCCGACAAATAGAACATGAGTAAAAAATGAGAGTGTACTACACAAAGAACGTGAAACAAAGCCGGGCGTAGTAAAACACTTTGCACGGGAAAGTACTTCTGTTCTATAGTTCTTTTTTTTTTTGCTTTGGAACTGTAACAAACTTGGCAAAATAGTTCAATCATCGGCTCTATGCCTCGGGAGAAAAATTTCTCCATCATCACTAACAAGAATGGCAACAACCCACAATGCATATTAAACAGAGGGGGACCCTTTGTCGGATTTCTAGTTTGTTGACTTTAATCAAAAAGTGTAGCAACCTCCATTTGGAACCAAAGAAAAAAAAGTTCCACAAAAAAGGGTTTCCTGTAACGGGAGGTTTAATCCGGAGCGCGCCTGGGGCATCAGGAGCGGAAGTTGCCGTCCCTTAGGCGTTTCGCTCGCTCGTTATTTTGGTGAAAAAAATAAAATGTGTGAACTGCGCAAAGTACATGGGAAAGGAGGAGGATTGTTGGAATGTAATCTTGGAGATTTCGTAGAGTATTTTTGTCAACGCATGGTCGACGACACTGAAATACTTTTGTATAGCCGTTGTGTTGCCTACAATATCCGAGTAAACAATGTAACAAGGTGTCCCGTTCCTTTTTGGAGGAAGGAGAGGATGTCCCTTTATATCCAACTTTTTGGCCACAGATCCCCTCAAATTTTGGCTAGGATAAAATTGGACCATAGACAAGGGTCCTTTCTCTATGATGGGACAAGAAAAGGGGTGCATGTTTTCGCGAGAACCCTTTGCCGGCGATGTCGCCCATGGCAGCAGGGGGCGGTGGACGGCTCGGCCCACTGGTGGTGTAATTACCTCTGGCAGGTTTCAGCGAGATTAGATTAATTGTTGGTAATCAGGCGGAAAATGGGAGAATGCGAGGTCATGCGGAGGCCACAATGGGGCTTACCAGCGGGTCGATACCCAGTGGAAAACGATTTTTTCTCCTCGAACTAGTCGTAGATTCCTGTGGGACTAACAGAGAAAAGACTTCCCGACGACAGAATCCGTTGGGGATACACGATTATACCTTAATGAACTTTTAATATGATTTTAGTTCCTGAAGCATTGCGTATGTTTAGTTTTCCTAATCGCCCTTTTTGTTATTGATGATAAAAGAATGTCGTTTCTTTTCCTACCTTACTGCAAATTGACATAACTGTACACAGCTGTGGTTGGCCATATAGTTATAAACTGCAACAAGAGACACGACTGTTTCCATTTAATATCTTTGTACTGAATAATAGTGTAAAAAATAGTTCATCAAATTTGTTTGTTCATATTGTTTTCCTTTCATTTAGCCCGTAGTTTCCAGCCTGTATTTTTCTTTTTCTCCCGAATACGTTTCATTATAGCATCTCCAAGTCTCAAGTTCTTGCGAATAACTCTCCCTCATAACAATAACTAACAATGCACCAGCACTTAGCCTGTTGAGTCCACCAAAATTGGGCTGGTTTTTCAAATGGACATCGAGCAAGATGAAGAAAAAAATCAAGTTACCTAGACAAAAAATGAAGTTCCCTGCTCTAGAAAGTCATCTTTAGCATCAAAAAAGTGCCTGCATGACAGTTAGAATTCAGGTTTCTTTACACTGGATCCAGTTGGCAAGAATTGCAGGTGATGACTCTATAGTTCTCAATGGAAAGAATTCCACTTGACTCAGCCTTTTTTAAATAAATCGATTCGTAGACCAGAGAAACGGGGTGTACGTGTACAGGGCTCATACCGTCACAACACGCTTCTTGGCCATCGCGCGGTCGCACGGCTTCGACCCGCTGTAAGCTGTGTTTGACTTCGTCTTGTCCTAAATTACTATCGACATAATCGAATAATTAATAATTCAGTTGGTCCTCGCGACAGTGTTGATACAACATAATATTGTACTAGCTGGGTTGCTTGTGCCTTTAAGAATGGAAAATGCATGGCTGACGTATTTAAAGTATTAGTCACAATGGAAATTAAAGGTCTAGTTAATTCCAATTTTTGCAAGAAGCTTAACAAAATTCAAAATGTGCAACGGCACAGAAAGGACTAGCAAATAATAACTTTACCTTAGCGTCCAACACTCCGTGCATTGAAGAAATGGTTCTCTTTACACCACGTGAGTTTATAAAAATGGCTTAAAACGTTGATCTGGTTCATTTTACCCAAAATTGGTTAAAATCGGTCCATTTTGGAAGCAGAAACCAGAACCAGAAATAAATTTTAATCCAATTACTTGGAATGACATAGCCCATTTGGTATTTGCAGTTTTCACCCTCGCTTTTATTTGGATTTAATCCTAACAGGCAATTCTCCGGTTTTTTTTAGTAGATTTTTATGATTCCTTCGCCGATCTTTTCTCAAATTGTCGTATGAATTATCTACAGGTAACCTATTACAGGAAGCTTGCAAATGTAGGCATTCTAACAAGTACAATCCACTTAAAGAAAGATCCCTTACGCTGTAAAAAACGGCCGTCTTCAATGACAATTTCATACCTTGCTTTGAAACGGACATGCTGATATCAAGAAAATATCTCACATGCTCTCGTCGACCCTTGGATTGTTTGATGATGTTCCTATTGCTAAAAGACAAGATCGAAGTGTCTGATGACGAAAGCCGTGACGATAGTTTACACATCAGGTATATGATAAATTGCCAGAAGCACTCCAAGATTTCAATATCTTTTGGGTAACCGAATAGTTTATGTATGTATTCGATAAGCACTGCATGCAAATACACAAGCGCTTCAAGCGCCCTCTTTCGAGGCAATTATCAATAATAAGAGTGAACACTGTCATTTTCGACAAGTAATGTTTGCATCTGATGCGCTTCAGGACCTTCGAGCTACAAACTCCAGTGCACTGAAATCAGCCGATGGTGTGGTACATGCTCTAAGCTTTCCCAATATCTTGGGGGTAACCAAATTAGCCGTATCATATCCAGTGTCTTTCCCCTCCAAGCTATGAATGTCGGCTTCCGCCTTTCAACTGGACCTGCCCCGAGCGGGAGATACCACCGTTTGCTTACATGGGTGTTTTCCACCGGGCGTAACATTACGGGTGGCCGCATGTCGAGGTCTTAGCGGTTTGTTGATTCAGCTTTGCCGGTCGTTGGAGATGGAGGATTCGGTAGGATGTTCCGTGACCGCCCGTCAAAACACGACCATGGGAGATGTTGCAATCGTGAAAAGGATAAAGGTTGTTGGCTGGTAACTCCGGGTCTACTAAAGTTCCAATTTATGTCTGGACAATGTTTTGACACCAAATCTGGAACCAGAGAGCAAGAAAGACACTTCTCTGCTCTAGGTTAGAACCATGCTGCGTACGCCTGTCCCCCATGGCAAAGATCTATAAAGACGTCCGTTTTAGTGACTTTCAACAAAATGAGTGAACCATGCATGATTAACACTTTATTTAGTTTGTCCATAATGATTCTCTCCGTTGTTGTGGGTTAAATTCCACACTAAGCTACAACAAAGAAACTAGTAGTATAAGAATAGCCTAACTGGGAGTATTTTGTAACACCGTATTCCAAGCTTTTGCCGTTTATTTTTACCATCCTAGGTTTACATTTATCAATCGCACGGGAACGGCGACTTGGCTGTCCCAAATTTTGCCTCTTTCAGAGTTCCGATTTTGATCCTGAATTCCCCAGTCCGTTGTAATCTGTCACTTTGCTCATCTTTGGCTATGATATTACGCCTTCCATTAACACCAATCACTCGGCTTTTGCAATGTGGTTATCAGTCTAGAAGTTTTGGAATTTTATAAAAGCATTATTATTTTGAAGGTTTTTGGATTTTTTTTAACTTAAAATTTGGATCAAGTCTTTAATGATAACAAGCACATCAAAAGCTAATACAACAGCGCGTCTGCTATGACGTTATCTCGTTATGCATGGTGCAAGTCCTATTCCAGGACCAAATCTTGGTTGACTTTTTGGGAGGAGGGAACAAACTATTTGGAACTTTTTTCTATGTAACCTGTAGTTTACATTTCCGACGGGTGAGCCTAATTTGGGAATGTTGTTTGACACAATTTTAGAATTAGGCCCTAATAGAGGTGACAGATGTCCAGGAGCATGAAATGCATGACTGGGGGGGGGGGGTTAGGATATGTTCCCCGGGAAAATGTAAGAGGGACATCAAACATAAGACCTTTGTTTTACGGTTGATTTATTTATGATACAGGTAGGGTTTTCAGGATTCGAAAAAAAAGTGTGTGGGGGGCGTCATCCGAACCTCTATCCTCCCTCATGCTTGGGCTTAGTCCCCGTTGCCCCTGGATCCACCGATGGCAAGGTGTAGAGTTAGTGTAATGCAGGACGGAATCTCACTCAACGATAGATTCATCCTCAACTTTATCTTTCTGTTTTTGCCCCAGAAGCCAGCAAAGAGGCGGCCTTCGTCTACGCCATCTCCTCGGCCGGCGTGGTGCACGAGATCACCCGGTCCTGCAGCAAGGGGGAGCTGCTGGACTGTGCCTGCGACCCGTCCAAGAAGGGCTCCAGCAGGGACGAGCACGGTGTGTTCGACTGGGGCGGCTGCAGCGACAACGTCCAGTTCGCCCACGACTTCGCCCGGCAGTTCGTGGACGCCCGTGAACGGAAGGACAGAGACCCGAGGGCGCTGATGAACCTCCACAACAACCGGGCTGGTCGGAGGGTAGGCCTCGATACGATTATATCATGTATCACACCATGAACCATTTGGGCAATTTCCACTTCCCAATGTACAACCAATCAACTGCCTGTCGTTTTAAACGGTGTCGCAGATGTTAGTCTTTTGTGAGCAGAGAGAGAATCTGGTCATCTCGTTACCCAACAGTTGCGCATGTTAGGCCTAAATTTTGAAATGTTGATATTCAGATCAGAATTGCACCCAAGCTTCGACAGTGATTCGTTGGAGAAGAGTTTCAAAAGCTGGTAAAATTTTTGACGAACTATTGCCAACGATTGAGGTAACTTTCGGATAGAATTTCTAATTTTTTTCAGAATATAAGTGCAGATTCTTACTCGAGCAAAGATAATTCACAATTTTGTGTACCGAAATGCGCATCGTTCAAAGCCCAAATGTCTTAATGAAGGCTTTTTGGAGGGGAGTTGAGAATTGAACGGCAAAGATCTTGTTTCCAATCATAATTATTAGGCCTAAACAGCCAGCATTTCACACGTGCTTTCTTTGTATTTTGAATCATGAGCGTTAATTTACTATTCAGTTATAGCTGTTTGTTTTATGAATTCAATGACTGGCCTTAAACGCTCAGCGTTTGGTAAGACACTCAACGGACGCAATGCGTCACAAACCGTCGACCTGTTTTCATCAAGATGGTCAAATAAAATTTCTGGGGCCACCCTTTTTTCAAGGGCGCACTACAAGCAAAGTAACTTTGGCTTGTACATACATGTAGGTTGTTCACCTTCAACCTCTTGGGGGCACCTGAGGGCGTGGACTTCCGCGGGGGGAGGGGCACGCCCCGTAAATTACGCTAGGCTACTCTCTAGACTGTCCATCCTGTTGTTATTTGTTAAGTTCTGCATTTTCATACATCTTAGTGTGATCTTTGCGTATTCGCTTCCGATATACAGGCAGTGATGAAAAACATGAAGCTGGAATGCAAATGCCACGGCGTCAGCGGATCGTGTTCAATCCGTACCTGCTGGAAAGCCATGCAGGACTTCCGAGAAGTGGGCAGCTACCTGCGGGCCAAGTACGACCAGGCCTCGGAAGTGACCATGGTCCAGGACGGCACGGGGCTCAGCGTGATTAGAACCCATCGCAGGCCAAACCGGGCTAACCTGGTGTACTTCGAAGAATCGCCGGACTACTGCAAACATGATCCTGAAACCGGTAAGGCGCCCATGCCAGTTGGCCCCTCAGACAAGTGATAATTCAGGGGCCAGATAGGGGTATAGCTCTGCACACGAGATTGACGTCAGTGAAGAGGTCTTATCTTATCATCTTAGCTTCAAAAACTCCCTTTATGCTCAACACTGCGTCCAATTCAACGGTAACCTAAACAGTAGCGCTAATCCGAACCCTTCAGAAATCGTCAGCAGAAATATAATTATCAACGTCCAAGAGAATAAAACAGCGTGACGTTGCTTTAAACTTGTCCAAGGAGGCAGTTTGTTTTTTTAGTCCCAATCTCAATAGCAGAAGGTTTATAAGGCTGGAGAAGATCAGAAGCAAATTCAAATCTGTTCAAAAACATTCTTCTCCTCCTCTCTTATTGTAAAGGAAGAGAAATTTCTGTTACCTTTGTGTAATATTCGGCGGCCAGGCTGCAACCATGTTGCTCAGGTAGCCGCTGCGGGAAGAGAAGCTGTGCTTGTACAAACAAGGTGGAAGATTTGTGTGTTTCTTGAAGGCGCTGCAATCACCAAACTAATAGTCGCCTCTTCCTTTTGTTTGAGCAGGTTCTCTGGGCACGGCAGGCCGAGTCTGCAACAAGACGTCCCAGGGGCCAGACAGCTGTGACGTCATGTGCTGTGGGCGGGGCTACAACACCATGCGCGTGCAGCGCACCAGCCAGTGCGAGTGCAAGTTCCACTGGTGCTGCTTCGTCCGCTGCAGCGAGTGCACGGAGACGGTGGACCAGCACACCTGCAAGGGCGTGTCCACCGACCAGGTGGGCGCCACGGAGGCGGGAGACGGGCCGGCGTCCACGCAGACGCTCCGAGACGGCAGCGAGGCGCCCACGGCGGCTGAAGTGACCACGAAACCGAGGAGGCAGGGGCGAAAGCCTTCCAAGAGGAGGGATAAAAAACGGAGACGCCAGGGTGGCCAATCGAGAAGCAGAGAAACGACCGCAGTACACACTGAAACAGTCGTCCATAGTTTAGTAACAGCAACTATATAAATTCATCCAAAGCCCTGGAAGTGTACACCTAAGGCTTTAAGGCGTGTAGCCTAACCGGCACCTAAGAACTGTGAATAATGTACAAATAATATATTATAAGCAACATAGTATTCTGTCAAAGGTAATCGCGGCAACTGTCAACACTGCCCGTTCACAACGGTACTACTTTCCTGCTGGGAAGGTTCACAGCGTTGGCGATATTGGTTTCCGAAGTACATGCTCCAAACGCAAGGAAAGCTACTACATGTACTGAGTGCAATTCAAACACGAATTGTACGTGACCAAGTGAATGTCATTATCAAATGCGTGTAAACCTGACCAGACCATTAATACATGTTTTACTTTCGCTTGAGTGCCTTCCAGAATAGTGAATCTAATCATTTCTTCAATGCTTTATTTTTTAAGCTGTTCATTTGCAACCAGTAGGCCTAAGGAGTCAAAGAAATTACGTACCCGAAATTCGACCTTGTTGTCAGCTTCCATTGTCCACGGTTCCAGTCCCTCGCACAGACACATTAATCACAACATGAATGTAATCGTACATAAACGTTGAGCTAAACTATGCAATTAAGACTTTTCCCATCATAAACCCAATCTTTAAATTGCTAAATGTCCTGTAAATAAAACGGAACGGTTAATGTACTTTGATGATAATTATGCCTGATTTGAATACGGTAACGTTTAATTTACATAAAGCCAAAAATCAATTGTACTATAGTTCAGTAAATACGAACGCCATGTATATAATTAAACGAAACATAAATCATACGATTTTATTCAGTTACACAGACCGAATTTTGCGTCCTGATTGCTGTCTTTGATAGGTTCTGGAAAATAAGTTTCAAGAAAGGGAGTAGGCCATTCATACATCGTGCAAGCGAGAAGCGAGAGTTGTTTTATTCGCCTGCAGCGTCAAATGACCTTTGTAATAACAGAGTTTTAACTAATCAAGCTCCTATTCAGACATTCATCGTCAGCCAATTAGATTCCTTAATTCTGCTATTAAGTATGTAATATTCATATTAGTCTTGGAACTCCAGGGTCAACCTTCTCATACCAACGATTATGATTGGTCAGTCTATTATTGAAGTGTTATTGCTCTAGTGCAGATATAAGTAGGCCTATAACATACTCTTCATGAAATTTCATTTTTCGGACCTTCTCAGCCAGGTGTATAGGGGTAAGGTCTCTTTTGTCTCGACACCAGTCTTTTTTGAAATTCGATAAGGACATCCGTTCGAAGTACTCGTGTGAAATTTCGATTCCATATTCTCAGTTTTGTTTTCATGTTTATTTAGGGCTCTGCTTGCACTGAGCAAAACAATGTCGAGGCAATCGGTAAACATTCTGGCCAATCTGTGTAGTCTCGGGAAAAATGGGTACCGTATTTTACTAGAAGTGTTTAAATCCAGTTTTCAGAAAAAGCCAGGTTACAATAACCGCAAGACATCGGTAGAAAAACTCAGGTGGGTTCCGAATGATAAAAACATGCACTGCGTCGATTATCAAAAAATACGACAGCAAATCTCCGCCTCGTTTTGGGGGGAAAAGAGAATCGTATACTCGTATAGCAAGGATTGTGAATATCGGGCGCCACCTTTTTCGTGTAGTGCCGATGTGAAGGGGACATACGGTACATTTCTTACGGGAATCTACACTGCCAAGATACATATCGTGTAACACCTTCTTTTGGAAGGGAGCAACGTGTAAAGGAATATACGAAAAGGTCCTCAAGAAAAATGTTCATTTTTCTCGGTCGACCAAAACCCTGAATGAATGCATCATAAGTGCACGGTTACTGTGCAGGTGATGTAAAGCAGCCGCCTGCATAAAGACAAACGGTCGAAGGCTGTTACGCCCTGTTATATTGAAAATCACATCTATGCTCCTGCAGTATTTCGGACATTTCAGAGGCGACCGGAAGTAACGGCTACGGTTCACACATGCATATGTGTTCTTTGTAAGTTACTGACTAACTGCCGTAGCGAATCCCCCCATCAGACGAAATAGGCCATCCCATCAGTAGCGAGTCGATTCAGACGTTCAAGTGGTACGAATTTCAATCGGCACAGACTCTTAAGAGTTGGACGCCGTAAGATTTATGAGGGATTCGGTTTCCGAATTACTCTATATATAAACAAATTTGACAAGAGGGCGCTCTTCACATACAGTCTCTCACGCATCAGAACCGTTTCTTTCATCGGGCATTGATCTGTACCGTGTTTGTGAAAATAGCCAGAGAGTAATAAAAAGGCCACGGAGTCCATCGACACAAGCTGAAACACTGAAGAAAGACATGCAACTTAATTCTAGATGTGCTTCATCGAAATGGAAAACAAATTTCACCTTTTATTGACACTTTCGTCAGCTGCATGCAGATACAAAATATTAAATATTCTCACCTTTAAGGAGACGTGTACACTATTCTAAAATAGACCCAAATTTACACCCTTTATCTGGAATTTTTAAATTCAAACTTTACATCAAAGCAAGACATATTTCAACAGAATCTTCTTAAACGTCTTCATGATAAGGTTTTGTTAAATGAAGCAAAAATGCCAAATAAAACTTGTTAGCAACAAAAATGGCAATGAACTGCCCAACTCTTCATGCAGGGAGAAACACACACTTACCCCGAACAGGCCGACAAAAGCCTTTGAAATCTAACAGGGTTTGAGTGGATTTTTCAGGATTGTGAAACGTACAGCCTGAGGTCCTTTGAATGTTACAGCCTAACGAATTTGTCTATGCCTTCGGCCATCAACGGTGGAGGTGGGTGAATTTTACCAAGCAAGAATAGCCTAAAAATTGCCCTAGGCTTGTTTACACGCTACCATTCCACAATAGCACACTGGCCAAAGGAGACAAGTGATGAGAGCCAGTTAGTTTAAATTCCTCCCATCCTTATGAAAGACAAAGCAATTATTTACAGCAAGCCATCCGCAAAATACAAATGTACACGAAGCCAAGTTATCCTCCACCACTGGACAAGTATTCAGAATGTCTTAAAAAGGGACAAGAATTAATTAACCAAAGCTTACGTCCATTTGTAACAAAGAACCGTGGCAGTGGTTGTCTTGAGAACCTAATCTCACATGCAGCATGTCTGAAAAACAAAATGACGCTAACGAAATGTCACAGCCGCAGCTCAATGATCACAGAGCAGCCTGATCAAATTTAAACTTGGACTTCAGAGCAGCAACCTGTATCTCCATGCTTAGCTAGTTCCGGTTACGGAACACAACCACGGGACTTTCAATCTATCCATTGTCTCAGGATTGGAAAAAGCACAACACATCCAGGGCTCAGCTTCTTTACAGAACCTCAACAAATCCTTTAAAGATACTTATCACACAGTGCAACACCAAGGACAGATCTAGAAGCAAATTTTCAAACAATTGGACAATTTGTTGTGTAACCTTTTACGGCCTTTCTGAGGAATGAGGCTACATTCTTTGGGTTTTTAAACACTTATTGAAGGGAAATGAAAAGGCCAACAAAACTTACCTTTCTCTGATTATCATTATTATTCTTACAATTTTTTGAGACATGTCCCAAACTGACCCCTGGATCTGCTCTCGTGCGACTATGAACTCCCAACATGACAACTCACTTTTCTACCAAGACAGACTCAATGCTGAAGATGCCATTATTGCAGTGGCATCACACTAAAGACCATGTTCTCAAACTCAAGAAGTCCTCTATCTGCCAACCACTGGACAATTAAGGGTACAGCACGTGCCATTTTGGCAAGCCACGAAGAACAGAGACCTTTTGGTCAACAAGAGAGTTAAGACGTGTGTGCCCACATGCATGTGAGCATGCTGTCACCATTTTGGCTCCCAATTCTAGTTGCCAAATTAGCTTGTAGTAAGATCTTCTAATCCTGTGAATATTTGCTATAAATCGATGCCAAATCCAAGAGAAACTCTTCTTGGGTGACCTTGCAAAATTTCAACTTCTAGAGATTCAGACTTTGGTATATTCAGGGCCATCAAACTTGTGGGAAAAATTTACACCTAAGTACATGTACATTCACAGTTTTGATTAGCAGAATTCCAAGGCTGACCCTCAGAATAAAAAGAACAGTGGTAAATATGCTATACAAAAGACCAAATTCTCTGTCCGGTTCGTAAGTGACTTCATCACAAAGGCGGGCGTGCCATGATTTGCACGCTCCCATTGGATGATCGTTGAAGTTGCGCGTTAACGTCTGGTTCCATAGTTCTATGTAAACAGTGATCAATGCATGTCACTCTATGCAGGGGTGAGATTGATCAATGATAAAAATAGCTGAAAACAGCTGAAAAAAAGCATAAAGAAGCTGAACTGTGAAAATCTCCTATACTTCTGTACATCGCCAGTGAGGAAAAGAAAGCGAAAATCCAAAACAAAAAAAGCTGAAATCAGCTAAAAAGCTGACAAATCTCACCCGTCTATGTGCAGTGCATGTGCACTGGGCGTGGTTTAAACTGCAGTGACGTCACACTTCCAAACCAGGTACTACTGCATTCCAATAACGCCAGTGAGATGGATTAATGCCAAACCTAAACTTTACAAAAGCAAGAACTGAAATGAGATTACATATAAATTGTCTCAATTTAAGTCTCTTTTGGGGTGAGTAGAATTTATTGGAAAATTCTGCCACTGGTAAGAATGACATATGCATTGTAAATAATAATGATTCCAAAGGTGCTTTCCTTTTGATTGAGAACACAATACAGCAAGAAGGCGAATCTTCTGATGTTACCGCCTCCGACAATTTCTCCAGACCTCTATATTTCTCCTTTAAAATCAATGGCATCTCTTTCCCCTTGAAAGATAAAAACTTTCCTTTTTATTACTTGCCAAAGACCTTCTTGGCAAATTCATGCAGGTACTTGTGAAACTCTAGCGGTTGGTCCAAGTAGCAAGGGTGACCAGCCTCCTTGATTTCGTGGACTTCAGACCTCGGCAGGTTGCGGAGATTCTTAAGGGATACATCTCCAAGCATAGTATCCTTGGAGCCATAGATGATGGACGTTGGCACCTGAATTTAAGAACAAATGGCATTGAAACTACTACATTTGAGACCTGTTGATACCAGCTACAGAGAAAAAAAATTTCTAGCCTATTTAAAAGTGACAGGCAACCAGTCTTGGGAATGTCAAAGGTTATCTCATGTAGAGGCGCCTACTCCGTAGTTACATGTGGCCTGGGACAGTGAAAAGTGCATATGGTTTGCTGAGATAAAAGCCATTTGTCTACAGTCTGTTATTGTTTTGATCTGGAAAGTTCATCACTTTCCAACTGTAGGGCTGTGTTCAAATCCTTTGGCTGTTGCTGGGGGTGACACACGCATCGTCTTGACCATGTTGACATCAGGGAGTTGTTGTCAGGCGCTAGCCAGTGGCTACTGTTGGCATATCAGCTAAAACACACTGCGATGACAACTTTTATTCGACATGGGCTCAAGATGCATGCAATTGTACAATACAATTTTGACATTTGTGCCAAGGTGTTGGTTTGTGTATCACAACCAGTTTGATTACTTCCCCTGTGCTTATCGTGACATTGTCATTGGTTTGGGCTGCCCCCTGAGAGCAATGTGCACAACCCTCGATGTGCCCCCCTCCCCGAAATTTTATTTTATCCCGGTGAGGCTCCTGCACACATGTACACCAGAAGACTGTTTTCAATGATAAATCGACTCCAAAACCACACTGAATCCACACTATGTTTGTATTCCTGACCTCAATCAGAATGTAACCAGGCCTTACCTGCACTTTCTCATATTGCTCCTTCTTGTACTTTTCGGTGTCCACGGGGGCCACTGGCACGTAGCCGGAAAACTTCTCGGGGTGTGCCATCAGCAATGGTAGAGCGTAGGAGCCACTCATGGAGGGGCTGACGATAATGACCCCTGCGGGCTCTTTGATGTTGATGCCCTTCAAAACCTCCATCATGAGGGCAATGTGGTCCAGGCCTTCAATTTTTTCTGTGTTTCCATACCCTGAACCGTGACAATGGAAAGCAACAACGAATTCTGTGAACTGCCTATTCCGTCAGCGGCAAAAATGGGGCAGGGGTTGCCTTGAGACACTTGAGTAACGTAACCACATGCCATTACTCACGCAGCATTTGAAGACAACGGAATTTGTGCACATTCAGGTGAAAACCAGCCATATTTACACTCAGAAACACACGCATCGGAGCAAATTGTATATCAGTGAGTCTCTGACGAGTATCGATGCAGAATTGTAAACTTTCTTACACACGGCCAACAGAAACAGCACTTTTTGAATGTCCAGCTGACTCTTTCAGGTGAGTGGCATTTTATCGTATGGATATAATCAATATCAACAACATGGTATTTATTCCATGAGCATACTGTGCTTATTGAGTAAACACCTGTAAGTTCCAACTACGGGTTCCTACACTGTGAGGAACTCAGTGTCTATGGGCTCTTAGGGTGGAGGTAACAGTCATTTTGGCGTACGGGCTTCCGGGCTAGTGTTGAAGTTGTGTCCATCACAAGTTCCTGCCAAACCATCGCAAGTCCATCACAAGTCACCCAGTCTTAAGCCAAGTCACAAGTTATTCAAAGCAGGCCTTAATCAGTGTTCACCCTGAGCAAGCCTTTGACTTTTTTCACAAACACTTGGTCAAACACTGAGCATACAGTATTGTGAATATAAGTCGGTGTCAGGGCAAGACCTGTGATTAAAATATTAACATCCCCCGATGCAAAGTTCATCTTTGGAAAAAGTATTCACCCTGTTACTTATATCAGGTCTTGAGAAAGGACTTGTTTAATTAAAGACCACAATTACAACAGGCTTATGTGCTATGATAAACTCTATACATGTATTCATGAATAGCGCGGGGGCAGAGTTGGGAAACATAGTCCGAGGAGGGCATTACAAAAAAATCTACCCAAGCTCATAAAGACCTTGCCATGAAAAATACATGACAATCTGGTTAACATTACAGCACAGACTTCCTGTGCCCTAACAACAGAAGACCTAACTCGGGGGAATGTTCAGTAGGTTCAAATGTGACAGGAATAGTTCTATCGTTACCTGGCAGATCCACAGCCACCATCCTATATCCGTAAGTAGCCATGACGTGTAGAGTTCCAAGATCCAGCCAGGTTTCTGACTTGAATCTCATGCCATGCAGCAGGAGGAACACACCCTTGGGCATGTCCAGCGTCGTGTCGACAACCTAACAGACCCCAGGAAACCAAATAAAATGAATGCCAAACTCAAGACGGGAGGGGGGTACAGAGTCTTTGGCAGAAGATTCTAACTGGGTGACCTCCCAAAACTTAGAAAGTATCTTTTGGCTGAAACTAAGCCTGTTTAGTTGCTTGATTGATCAACTAATATGTTGATTGGTTGGTTACAGTTTTTTCTTAGATTAATCTTCGATTGCTATAAATAAAGGCTGGCTCTCAGAGGGTGAAATGAACCTGGCAAACTAGTCTTCGATCAGAAAAATTCAATGAGCAAATTTTTCCCCCAAACCTTGCAGGATGAAGGCAAAGAAGGGCTGATACAGTTGACAGGTGAAACAGACGGCGTGCACCGTAAAGATGCTTCAATGAAGAAGTGCCCATTTTGAAGATTTTGAGATGGACTGTTTTTGAAGATTTTGAGAAAGACTGTTTAATTCTTTTTCGTTGTTAATTAAACCTACCATAAAATTAGAAAATCAGTTATTTGATGACTGAAGCCATCTTGAAAGGTGCAGGATTAGTCAATTAAAAAATATAATCGCAAGTTGTTGGCCAAATGGGGAATACTTTGTGAGATTTGAAAAATATTTTCAAGACAAGATCGTAGGTCAACCAAGGGTAGGGGGCGGGCCAGTTTACGAACCTCTCGTCTGAAGACTGCGCCCTTTCCCCCGACATCGATCTTGCCGTCAGTGACCTTTAACACCTTGCTGGCCTTGGCTTCTTTCTTGATCTCCTCCCAGTCAGACATGCCGAGAAGACCCAACGACTCTACAATCAAACCTACTCATATTATAACAACCGTACTGACGTTCACATGTGCATGTCCTTCACGTTTGTTTGTGTGCACTAAATATGCCCCTCAACTCCATGTAAAAATAGTTTTGAAAGTGATAACAAAATAGGTTCTGTTATATGAAATAACCAATAAGAGTAATTCGTATGACAGACTGGTCATGCAAAACTAACCACAGGGGTGACCGCAAACCCAGTTTTTTCCGATTTATGACCATTCCTGCGGTGGCCCAGGTTTTGGTTCCAGAGATAATGGGAACACAACATAAACTTTTTGCTGACACAATTGTCAAACTTTTTCTGTGCACAAAAGAACAACACCCCCCAAAAAAGTGCTAGGATCATTTCTGAAAAGTTGGTGCTTTCTAAATCAAAATAAAAAAGGCAATGTATCTCCGGGCGGGGGACCTGCCTCCCTGTCCCCCGTCCCCCTACCAGTCCTGATCAATAAGTAAGGCTTCCCAGGGCAATGTGTTATAAAAATAAAGTTCAAACACGGTGACACTGACGGGACTATAAGGTGACAGACAGAATATTACTCTATGATGAATGCATGCTATAGAATTTCACAGCACTACAAAAGAGCTTGCCCACACTGTACAATGTAACGTACACGTACCTTTCTGAAGCTTATGGATGAATTTCTCCTTCTGCAAGATGTCCTCGGTAGAGTCGCCCGGCACTGAATACAGCCTGTACAAGATGACTAGCACTAGGACAATCAGCAACAGGACAATCACACCTCGTGGAGAGACGGTGGCCTGTGCCATTCAGGTGGGTGTCTCGGCCTGATTCTAGCTGCCAAGAGGACAAAGTGCAGATTGCCGATCTCTGTTTAAACAAGCACAGAGCAAATTAAACTTTGGGGCAACAGTTGGTGAGAAAGGATGAATCAAAGGGGAACTGGAATGAATTTTGAGCCGAAAAATTTCTTGTACAAATATCAAAGTCTCGGACAAGACAAGAGCAGCCTTACTTTGTTTATATGCTCATTGAGAGAACTTTTCACAATTTAAGATGCATTTGCTTTAATATTAAAACTGGCATTCTATTGTTATATTTCATTGAATGAGGCTAAAGTCAGTTAAATTATTTAGTAACATGTACCATAATTTACAACTGGAAGTCTTTTCATGAGGTCATCTGTTAATGATTTTTGACCACAGAAAGTGTTCCATTTGCATGTACGGACGCCGCTGGAGACTGGTCTGAGAATTCTAAGTATTTACTAATTAAACGACTTAGACTGTTGGGAATAATTACTGTCATCCGTACATGGAACTCTCTCCTTGGCCAAATATGGCAATAAAATGTTTTCTGTCACAAAAATGGCAACAAAACAATCCAGGTATAGGGTGGGTTACCATAAGCACACAGTCAATACATCTGTTCAGTTTCGTTATTAGATCCTCAAACTGTAATATGAATGACAATGTTATAAAATGACAGTGATGTAGTCGCAACTTTAAAGAGCTTACAACACAGGGTTGTTGATTTTCTTCATTTTTTTTAAATAAAAAAATCAGATTTTTAAAATTTCAATCAGAATTTTCTTCTTTAAATCAGATTTTTTATTTTTATAAAAATTAAAAACAAGTTGACTCAACTGTCTATTCAAAAGCAAGCAAATTAGCTGCGTGTGTGCTCGCTTTCTTTTATTTATTTGATTGGTTACAAAATTAAACAAATATAGATTTGAATGATTTGAATGATTAAATTCATTAACCACCATGTCTTAGCCTTGCATGCATGCCTTCAGAGACAAATACATGTACATGTACCAAGGATAAATGCGTACCAGGTTTTAAACCGAACTCCATGTTTTGACAAAAACTAGAATTCACAACAATTTGTTAACAGGGTACTTATACATGCATCGAATGACTAATGACTGAGAAACATGCCATGACCAACATGTACATGTATTTATTTTACATGCTGTATGTACGTGTAGGTGCAAAATGCTGGCATTTTACCTTGCTCTGTGTGCAAAAAGTGGTCTCGTTTTAAGATGGAAAGCTTGCGGTAAGCACCATGCAATATCTCTTTTTGAGTCTGTGTGGTTCTGATAAGAACCGGAGAGGCTCAACGTTTCGGACAGTGTGCTCTGTCCGTCGTCAGGAGACACTGTTTTATTTGTGGTCTCGTTTTATTTGTGATTCAGCTCAACAGAGCAATGACTTGCATTATGTTTTGATTAAAAACACTTTATTAAGGGTATTTATTAAGGGGGTAGTTAGTGGTTTTTGTTACACTGCATAATGATTAATGTTTCTAATCTCACTAAACACACTTACACCTGTATATAAAAGGTAGACGTACGCTGTACACTGATACTTTACCATGTCAAACTCTGAAGTGGGCAATTCAAATGAAATCAAATTAAATCACGATGATGAATCTTTCACATCAAATTTACTTACTAAATCCAAAAAGCTGATTTAAATCAAACCAAGTGGATTGAATTGAACAAAACATCTTGCCAACCCGGATTGTGTGTGACCCCTACATCTTGCCAACCCGGATTGTGTGTGACCCCTACATCTTGCCAACCCGGATTGTGTGTGACCCCTACATCTTGCCAACCCGGATTGTGTGTGACCCCTACGTATTCATACTTACTAGTAGGAACTGGAAGGCTCACAGAGGAGTGATTTGTTGTTTAAAATGTGAACACCTGCAAACATTTCCAATCAGCAAAAATGAATTCAAAAATTGAAACATTTCTGCCTTTCAAATTCCCAAATTAAGTATGCCGAGTTACATTTTCTACATAGCTGTGTTTTCCTCTTAAATGTACACATACACTATATGATCCAAAAAACCCCACGTTTGACGTATGGTTTGTTAATTTTCCTGTCCTCAGGACAGGAAGCAAATTAGCTAGATGAGGCACCGATAAGTTCAAAACCAAGGTCACCAAATTGATAAAAACAAAGTAGTGGACATTTGATGGTGAACAGGTCGTGTATGTTTTTGGTTTTGTACCAACACAGTAACTGTTTATTCCCTGTTTATGATCTGGGAGAAGAAAGTTTACTGTGTAAAATCTTTCATTCAGTGCTTACATGTTGCCATCAGCGTGAATAGTGTACATGCATTTCCATGATGGAATTCAGACTTACAAGTAGCAACCTACAGGTAATGTTAGATTAGTTGTGGAATTTATTGTAAAAAAATTCCCCAAAGCTAAAAATACAACTAAAACAATAAAAGATGGTTTTGTGACCTTTGGGGGCAGGATAAAATCCCTTGTAACTAACTGCTGATTTGGACCTGCACCAACATAATCTGAAGCCTCTTAAAGGGGCCAGAGCAGCACTCATGAATTACTTTGACAGGTGATTACACCGTTATGTGAGGTTACTTTAATGCTTCAATACCAAAAAAAGATATAATGATGTAGTGACTGGATAATGGAAAAATTTACACGTACATTAAGATTTTTTTTTTGGGGGGGGATTCTCTTTCATATGAAGATGTAGGTTTGACTTGATTTTCAAGGTTTGGCCAGGCAACCAGAAGCACACAGTTTGTTTGGCCTTCAGGGTGAGTCATACCGTATGTACAATGTAGCCTGGCTGTAGCCTGGGAAAAAACGTTATGAATGCATGAGAGATGAACTGTTTAATTCAATCGCATTTGACCGAGCTGGGTGATAGATGCAGTTTTTTTTAACAGTCCAATTTTGACGTATGTTTTGTTAATTTGAGTGAAAACTGCATGTTTCATATTTTCCATGGCACTGCCTACCCTACGTGTATGTCATGGAAGCACTCATGCCATGAGGCCATTTTAAGAAGGCACGCCTTCATACATGAAGGTTTTCTGGTCAAACTGTGAGCTCTGTGTTTGCTCATCAAGTTGATTTTAATTTCTTTTGAGAAAGAACTGTTCACTGGCCTCAACTGACATGAAAATCAATAAAGCAGAAAGCAAAAAGGTGCAATGTACATGAAAAATGGCAAAATATCTGAAAGTCTGGCCGAGTTTGGAGCTGAAATCCAAGCAAATCATGCAACATTGAGGTTTCCTGAATGAGCTCGTGCACACTTTTGCATTTTTATCATAAAAACCTATGGCAAGAGTTCCTCATCTGGCCACCATTTACTTGTTGAACGATAGACGATGCCAGCGCGCGGCGGTAGGCCGGCTACCATGATTACTCTCCACACTGGCTGATTGATGCGTAAACGCATGTACCTTTCCCAAATCTGCGTAAATAAAACCAACCTTAGCTAGTTCATTCCTTGATAATAACTGTTTACCTAACAATTTGGTGGAGAAGGTATCTGCCGTCTCTGACCAAAAATTAGGAAAACCCATCCACGTCACACTACTTCACACTAATCACAGCTGCGTGTTGACATGTGGAACTGGCACCTAGGCTACATTATGAAAAGTCACCGTGTAAAATGGCGAAGTACACCATGCTTATATCGCTTACGCGCGAGGTAAGCCATTCCACTTTTCTGAATTTTGGCATTGTTTCACAGACTCTCTGTCTTGGGCTTTGTCCTGTACACCAAAACTGCTTAAAAAAACACCACATTCCAACTATACAAAATCCATTTCATTTTTTCCATCGATATCAAATCCTTTTGTTGCAAAAAGGATTCTAGTTTGGTCAACTCCAGTCGGAAGGTGAATAGGCCAAACTGGTACGGTGGTGAGGCCGAGTTTTGAAAACTGCCCAGGGTGATCAATGGCTGTGTCCAAAACGGGCTTTTGTTTTCGAGCTACGGCTAGGGCAATGGTTAGCGATTCTCTGCGTATTTCCAACGGAGCAAAGACCTTGACATAGCTGTTGACAACAGGTGAGGATGCAGCTTGTGTTTAAGCCGTGGATACGAAGTCCGTGTGGCTACGGCTGGCTAAGAGCCGATCCCGGCCCCTTGGCCTTCTAAGCTTGTGCACATTTCTATGGTGTACTATTTACGACAAACATTTCTCTCTCTCTCTTGCCTCCCTCCAGGCCACGCAACGTAACCAGACGGCACGACGGCTCCCTTGCGTCGTGCCGTCGCCTTCTTGCCATTTCGTTTGTACACACACGACACGTTGCGTCGTGCGTCCCGTCGTGCTTCAGGCGACGCAATGCACAACACGACGTCAGACAAGAACTCGCATTTCCTTTTGCAGATATTTCCCTAAGTACTGGAAATATGGATATGAAACTTATATGAATAGATGAAGGAAAATATGCTCCTTCCGATGACACCAAGATTGCAAGATTGCATATTTTAGAAAGAAAAAGAGCAAAAAGACAATCAGCATATGAAGGAACTGCTCTCTCATAATAATGGAAGCCCAGAATTCGGCACTCTTTAATTAAACCCAGCCAATGATTTCTTTTTAATACCGTCGATGCAGTTCCCATTTGTGGTAGATTTGTAATCTTATAGATACCGGTATTTCTCCGTGGTCCATCCCGGTAATTTCTAAGTAGTACTCCCAATTCCCCAATTTGACTACAATTGTTTGACCGCAAGTTTGACCACGTGTTTAGGAAGTTACCACCGAGCCTGCTCTATAATACCCTCAGAATATTCCGTCGTAGTCTTCCTTCAGGTCAGTCTTCCTCGTTACCTTCATCAGCACCACACTGTATTTCTGAATAAAACATTATACAAACGCTATTGTCATTGTGGCTGTGTCTTTTCTTCAACTCTGTTTGGCCACACACATGATTTCTCCTTAAATCTGCATGTTACATTAGCAAGCACGTTATAATGATTGATGTATTGTACCTGGGAATGGATTTAAAAATATTGTAGCGGACATAATATGAGAACCATGACACCTGCTTACATTATTTATTTGTTTACTTGTTTACGCCTTTTTATTATCAGCTAACCAGTGAGAATTAATTCGTTTCCAAGTTTTTGCACGGTTTACGAAAATACAAATATCCTGACGTTAGACTCTGAGAAAGCATCTTTTTAATAATGAAAAACAGCTAGGGATTCTATTTAACAGAAAACATTATGAATTAGCAATGAAAATAAATAAAGGGCCTAGCTTGAAGGCGATCTATTGCTGAAGTTGGGGACGACTTGACTTGGCTTGTCTTGACTTGGCAAGTAGCTGTAGAGTTTGCAGAAGAAAGGCTTGCAGTAAAAAGAGCTTGAATGGATGGCGAAGATGGGTTGGGCTATATCATGTTTAGGGTTCAAGTGCACAATCTTTCCTTCCCCTCGACTAAATCAGGTTTCGAAACGGAATTCATGTGGCTCTGGTCCAGGCCACCCACTGTCCAGCAACGTATGCATGTGTAGTTCAATAGGCTTACACTGGTAATGTTTTGCCTAGAACAGGACAGGGACGAATTTGTAAGTATGGCAGGTTCGATGGAAGGAGAAATCACAGAGAGACAACAGAACAGTCTCTGTTCAGTCCAGTAGCCAAGTGAAGTGGAAGGTCACTAGCTAGGGAAGTTATCAGCTCCTTCTCAAGGACTCTTGTGGCTGGTTGCAAGTTCTGCTACCAACTGCCCACACGCACTGCCAAGCAACCCACACCTAATTCTGGGGGAGTTAGGATTTCAAAAAGTGGGGGAGCAAAATCAATTCCATTACATAATTATTAGGAAGATCAAAATTAGAGCAGGAAAAGTTAAAACAACGTTGTGGCTTATGTTATTTATTTCCTGGAGACAAGGCTGATAGTTGGTCGTGACGCTCTTTCTAACTACATTTGATTAAAAAAACAAACCAACCAACAAACAAACCTTTTCTTCAGCAACTCACCCTTAATGAAAACACAAAGTTAGAAAGTAACCATGAAAAAGAACAATGGCAGAAACAAGGCCTGTTACCTATTCTCTCTTTGTATGCTACCACCATAGGCATTCCAGAGCCTCGATCTGGCATCTTTTTCCATGTATTTTGCTTAGTAATTTTTGGCATGATGCTGCGTTAATTCTTCTACCATCTATACTCTACGATTGGACAATATTTCAAAAGCTGTCAGTTCAAGGCTCTGCATGCCCATGGCGGCAGCGTACAAAGAGCGAATACCATGTCCTGGGTGCCATGCAATCCACTATTCAAGTGAGAATTTCTGCTCAGCTCATTAGCATTAAAAATAGCAGCCCAGCATTTTTCTGAAAAAAGGGAGATTGTTTGGCCCCCGAAATGGTGAGATTGTGTAAATCGTTGCCAGGATCAACTGCCTGGGTCTTTCAGCTATCCCATGAGAGCAGAATGGTTAAAAACTACACCTGAAAAATGGTCCTAAGTGCCCGAAAAGGTTGAGGGTTGCCACTTGAAAAATGGCTGCAATCAGACTTCTGGAAAATCACCTTTCGGGGGTTAGTTTGTTTTGTGGGAATAATTAAAAATGTAATTGGTTAACCCACAAAAATTGGAAAGAAATCGAAAGATTAGGGACTAGACAATAACTTCATTTGTGTTTCTGAAATCTCAGGGATGTTGGCGTGCATGCTATTGGGCCCTGAACAGTGCCGATTTTACACTGTTTTCAATGGGGCTTGAATTAGTGGACTGTACCCTACTATGCAAGTACGGGGGACGGAATTGAATGAAACAGTAAAGGCGCCCTCTATAAATGCCAAGAAGCAAAGGGGGCGATAGTACCCGCGACGCGTCGCGTCGTGTGTCGTGTCGAGCATCGCGTCGTGCACGACGCAACGCGTCGTGTGTGTACAAAAGTAATGGCAAGAAGGAAGGCGACGGTGCGACCCGACAGCACGACGCAAGGGAGTCGTCGTGCCGCCGCGTCGTGTGGTTGCGTCGCCTGGAGGGAGTCTAAAGAGAGCTAGAGAGAGAGAAATGTTTGTCGTAAATAGTACACCATACATTTCACGGTGCACGTCGTCGATCCAGACCACCAGTGGACGCGGCAAGTCCCCAGCACAATGTCGCCAACTCCAGCCCCGCAAGAAAATGCAAAGAAAGCCAAAACGGAGGACCAGGCCGTTTCGAACTTCAGGGAGTACCTGAGGATCAAAACGGTCCATCCGGAGCCAGATTATGGTACGATTCTGCGGACGGGCAGACGAAACCTGTCTCACTGAAACTCTCATGCAGTGTCTGGCAATTGGGACCATGGGATTAGCCCCAGTGGGTGTGACACGGACTCTCACCGTACTGAGAGTCCGTGCCACACCAGTAGGGCTAGCTGTGGGACTCTGTGGCCTCAAGTAGTTAGTTGATATCATTTCTCTTCCAGGGGTAAATTGTGTAATATCTCACAACTGGTAAGGCCNGTGTTCTAAGCTTGTGCACATTTCTATGGTGTACTATTTACGACAAACATTTCTCTCTCTCTCTTGCCTCCCTCTAGGCAACGCAACCAGACGGCACGACGGCTCCCTTGCGTCGTGCCATCGCCTTCTTGCCATTTCGTTTGTACACACACGACGTGTCACGTCGTGCGTCCCGTCGTGCGTCCCGTCGTGCTTCAGGCGACACGATGCACGACACGACGTCAGACAAGAACTCGCACTTTCTTTTGCAGATATTTCCCTAAGTACTGGAAATATGGATATGAAACTTATATGAAAATATGCTCCTTCCGATGACACCAAGATTGCAAGATTGCATATTTTAGTAAGAAAAAGAGCAAAAAGACAATCGGCATATGAAGGAACTGCTCTCTCATAATAATGGAAGCCAAGAATTCGGCACTCTTTAATTAAACCCAGCCAATGATTTCTTTTTAATACCGTCGACGCAGTTCTGGTCCCGTTTGTGGTAGATTTGTAGTCTTATAGATACCGGTATTTCTCCGTGGTCCATCCCGGTAATTTCTAAGTATAAGTACTCCCAATTCTCCAGACAATTTGTCTACAATTGTACGGCCGCAAGTTTGACCAGGGGTTTAGGAAGTTACCACCGAACCTGCTCTACAATGCCCCTCAGAATATTCATCTTAGTCTTCCTTCAGGTCAGTCTTCCTCGTTACCTTCATCAGCACCACACTGTATTTCTGAATAAAACATTATACAGGCGCTATTATCATCGTGGCCGTGTCTTTTCTTCAACTCTGTTTGGCCACACACACACGATTTCTCCTCAAATCCGCATGTTACATTAGCAAGCACGTTATAATGATTGATGTATTGTATCTGAGAATGGATTTAGAAATATTGTAGCGGACATAATATGAGAACCATGACACCTGCTTACATTATTTATTTGTTTACTAGTTTACGCCTTTTTCTTATCAGCAAACCAGTGAGAATTAATTCGTTTCCTGCTGATATAGTGCCAAGTTTTTGCACGGTTTACGAAAATACAAATATCCTCACGTTAGACTCTGAGAAAGCATCTTTTTAATAATGAAAAACAGGGATTCTATTTAACAGAAAACATTATGAATTAGCAATGAAAATAAATAAAGGGCCTAGCTTGAAGACGATCTATTGCTGAAGTTGGGGACGACTTGGCTTGTCTTGACTTGGCAAGTAGCTGTAGAGCTTGCTGTAGACAGGCTTGCAGTAAAAAGAGCTCGAATGGATGGCGAAGATGTATTGGGCTATGATGTTTAGAGTTCAAATGCACAGTCTTTCCTTCCCCTCGTCTAAATCAGGTTTCGAAACGGAATTCATGTGGCTCTGGTCCAGGCCACCCACTGTCCAGCAGCGTATGCATGTGTGGTTCAATAGAATAGAATAGGCTTATACTGGTAATGTTTTTGCCTAGAGCAGGACAGGGACGAATTTGTAAGTATGGCAGGTTCAATGGAAGGAGAAATCACAGAGAGACAACAGAACAGTCTCTGTTCAGTCCAGTAGCCAAGTGAGGTGGAAGGTCACTGGCTAGGGAAGTTATCAGCTCCTTCTCAAGGACTCTTGTGGCTGGTTGCAAGTTCTGCTACCAACTGCCCACACGCACTGTCAAGCAACCCACACAAATTGTATGACCTAATTCTGGGGGAGTTAGGATTTCAAAAAGTGGGGGAGCAAAATTAATTCTATTACATAATTATTAGGAAGATCAAAATTAGAGCAGGAAAAATTAAAACAACTTTGTGGCTCATGTTATTTATTTCCTGGAGACAAGGCTGATAGTTGCTCGTGACGCCCTTTCTAATTACATTTGATTAAAAAAACAAACCTTTTCTTCAACAACTCACTCTTAATGAAAACACAAAGTTAGAAAGTAGCAACAGAAACAAGACCTATTTGCTCTTTGTACGCTACCGCCACAGGCATGCAGAGCCTCGATCTGGCAGCTTTTTCCGTGTACAAGTATGTTGCTAGGTAATTTTGGGCATGATGCTGCGTTAGTTCTTCTACCATCTATACTATACGATTGGACAATACTTCAAAAGATGTCAGTTCAAGGCTCTGCATGCCCATATGGTGGCAGCGGACAAAGAGCAAATACCATGTACTGGGTGCATGCAATCCACTATTCAAGTAAGAATTTCTGCTCAGCTCATTAGCATTAAAAGTAGCAGCCCAGCATTTTTCTGAAAAAGAGGAGATTGTTTGGCCCCCGAAATGGTGAGATTGTGTAAATCGTTGCCAGGATCAACTGCCTTGGTCTTTGAGCTATGCTATGAGAGCAGCATGGCTAAAAACTACAACTGAAAAATGGTCCTAAGTGCCCAAGAAGGTTGAGGGTTGCCACTTGAAAAATGGCTGCAATCAGACTTCTGAAAAATCACTTTTCGGGGGTTAGTTTGTTTTGTGGGAATAATTAAAAATGTAATTGGTTAACCCACAAAAAAATTGGAAAGAAATCGAAAGATTAGGGACCAGACAATAATTTTATTTGTCTTTCAGCAATCTCAAGGATGTTAGACTGCATGTTATTGGGCCCTGAACAGTGCCGATTTTTACAGTGTTTTCAATGGGGCTTGAATTAGTGGACTGTACCGTACTATGCAAGTACGGGGGACGGAATTGAATGAAACAGTAAAGGCGCCCTCTATTAATGCCAAGAAGCAAAGGGGGCGATAGTACCCGACGCGTCGTGTGTCGTGTGTCGTGTCGAGCATCGCGTCGTGTGTGTACAAAAGTAATGGCAAGAAGGAAGGCGACGGTGCGACCCGACGGCACGACGCAAGGGAGTCGTCGTGCCGCCGCGTCGTGTGGTTGCGTCGCCTGGAGGGAGTCTAAAGAGAGCTAGAGAGAGAGAGAGAGAAATGTTTGTCGTAAATAGTACACCATACATTTCACGGTGCCAAGTCATATCCAGACCACCAGTGGACGCGGGAAGTCCCCAGCACAATGTCGCCAACTCCAGCCCCGCAAGAAAATGCAAAGAAAGCCAAAACGGAGGACCAGGCCGTCTCGAACTTCAGGGAGTACCTGAGGATCAAAACGGTCCATCCGGAGCCAGATTATGGTACGATTCTGCGGACGGGCAGACGAAACCTGTCTCACTGAGACTCTCATGTAGTGTCTGGCATGCTGTGACCATGGGATTAGCCCCAGTGGGTGTGACACGGACTCTCACCGTATGCTGAGAGTCCGTGCCACACCAGTGGGGCTTGCTGGGACTCTAGCTGTTAGTTGATATCATTTCTCTTCCAGGGGTAAATTGTGTAATATCTCACAACTGGTAAGGGNAAAAAGACTTTGCATTTCTACCGCGCAATAGTTCAGGATAACTAAAGAAAAAGTTTTTTCAGAAGTGCATGGATTCTGTCTGTCGATGGAAATCTTTTTCTTTGAAATATTTTACAAACTTTCAGCTGGAGCTTTGCTGTTTCTTCAGCGAATGGCTACCGAGTTGGGCCTGCCGTATGAAATTGTTGAGGTGAGTATCATTTTGACTGACACACGGTACATGATGTTATGGCTGAATCTGAAACAACTGGCCGTCATAAAGAATAAAGCTGAGAAAAAAAAGTTTCTCATCCTACACTTAGTAAGGGTCCATCGGTTTATAAAGATTTTTGATAATCGATATATCAGAAATCCAATATTGAGTGGATTTGATGTATATCATGTACTAATATTCCCAGTGTACATGGTGAACAATAAATTCTCGACCAATCAAAGCCAGATAACTTGAAACTCTCTACTTCCAGTTCAGTATTGTGATATGATTAAAAGTTGATAGCAGCAATAACATTTTAAAATAATAAACATCAGCAGACCTTCAACATCAGGAGAAAGCAGCCATTTCCTGGACTCTTTTGCAAATGGTTTTGTATCAGAATTGAAAGAACTTTGACCTGTTTACAGTCGAACCCAGATAAGGAGCCTTGTTCATACAAGGTCGCTTCTGTAACGAGGTCAAATTTAGGTCCCAATTCTCTGATTTTCATTATGTTTCCATTACTGATCATACAAAGTAACTATTGTAACAAGGAAATTTGTTAAATTCCAAGGACCTTGTTATAACAGTGTTCGACAGAAGTAGGTTTTGTAGTGAGCAGTGGGAGATATAAATGCACATTGTTGGAAACAAATAGACAAGTCAAAGTAACATGAGGCTGGTTGGAAAAAGGAAGCAGACTGACAAAAAACATGGTTTTTTTTATACCTGCTAGTCAGTGGCTTCCATCAGTTAATTCCCAAGCCTTCAGTGAAAACTCACTGTTTTTGAAGAATTTGCCAACCTGATTTGTGATTTGTCACCAATGATAATGAATACAACATTTTCCATATGGTCAACAGATTACAACCTTTGGACAATCTTAAAACCTGCTACATGTAAATACAATTTTTGGGGCCCAGATTTGTTTGGTCGTTGACATATCAGAGCAAAACACAGAATACATGTACATGGCCCCGACTCAAAATGCCGAGTCTTTAACTTTGTAAACACCATGCAGTATGTGTGCTGTTGAAGAACAGTACCAATACACATGTACATGTACATATAAATTGATGTCTTTCTGTTTGTGTCGTTACCCATGTACATGTAGGTCCATCCAGGGAAAGATGTCTTCATTATGACCTGGGAAGGTAGGAATCCTGCCTTGAAAAGTGTTATCCTCAACTCACACACCGATGTTGTGCCTGTTTACGAGGTGAGATTTTTTGCTTTGATTGACATCCCTTGCAAAGTACATGTAGTTTTTCCATTGGTGGATGTAGATTTCTTTGGAGAGTCTGATTTGGTAATCCCTGCATGGTGGAGTAATTCGGTTCAAAACAAATACATGTGCTGGTTATTTGGAGGTGAATTTAATGCACCTTTGAAGCAAAAGGTTTACGTACGTCTGTCTACACATGGTGGAACAAAAACAGTTTTCCTCGAATGTCACAACTTCACTCATCCCTACCGACCTTTCTTTTCATAAAACAGAGAAGATGGGTCTCTACTTAATGAACATGGTGTATGCATCAAATAACAACACCCAGAGATGTGGTATATAATTCACACTTATATTTACAAAAGAAAATCAAAATTTTAGATACTCCCAGCCTAGTTAGTGCCATTTCCTGTATTTTGGGTCACATCTCATAGTTGCAGTGGACAACTTTCTGACGTGTTTTTGAATGACAGTAAGGAGTACATGTAGATGTAAATTTTCACAAAATGATTTTTCAGCAATATTAATATTTTGAATCGTAATAAATGTCTCTGAGAATGTTCAATTGAAATACAAACTGTGAACATTAAGCTGAGATACAGTTTGTCCTAACCTTATCGAGAAAAAGTCGGCAGAACTATTTCAAACAACAAAAAAGTGAGGAAAAGTGTTTTTCTAACTTTTTGCCCCAAGTGTATGCTTGACCCAGGAGGTACCAGTAATTTTTTCATCAGCACACGTCATGTGCAACTTTCGTGTATCCTACTTCTGCACAAGGCAGATATGGACTGGATCTTCACCATGTCAACTGTATTTGTGGCATATACAGCTCTTTGTTCCACTTTTTTTCCAGGATCTGTGGAAGTGCGATGCCTTTGAGGCAGTTAAGTACGAGAATGGTGATATCTATGCAAGAGGCACCCAGGTACTGTACCGTGTACATGTCATATTGCAGGTGGTTGGTTTTTGTTGCATTGTTCTTGGTATTTCATTGGCTGGTGGCATGTCACATGATACGAAGGCTATTTTTGGCCAGCTCTCCCCCAATCTGATACGCGACGAGCCCAAAAAAGTGCATCCGGGCCACCAATTTAAGTTTGCCCTTGTCTAGCATAGTACTGTTTGTACGTACAGGTACGGTAATTGTGTATTTGGGGCAAACATTCCTGCACAGAAAATTGTGTCACAGTTTCCCAAGAGCATGCAACCTTCCATATTGTCCTTTTCATCACAGAGGCAGGATTTCTGTGTGGTTTTCTTTTATGTGATGCAGGCACTAAGTTTTGCCTTTTAAGGTTCATCTACATTTAGCTGAGACTCCTGCAGAGAACACAAAGTAAACAAAGGCAAGGCGCAAACCATACATGTACTTTTTTTTACCTTGTTTATCGCTGAATAAATTCCTGTAATAGTTTTACATTGGAATCTGTAAAAGTCAGGTGCAAACTTTAACAGAGAAATCTCCCTGCATCTCTTTGAAAATGAGAGAGTTTTTTTTTTTGAATTTTTTAATTTGCAGGACATGAAGAGTGTTGGAATTCAGTGAGTACAACCGTATGTTGCTAAGAAATATAGAATGTTCTGTTGGTTCTTCAGTCACTCGTTGCAGTGTTCTTATTCCTGCTGTTGCACCATTTGAAGGAAGATATTGGACGGAGAGAACCCCCCCGCCTTTGTGTTGGTCATTGTTTGATCGGAATCTCAGGAATTCCTTACAGACTTCTAGGGGGGATGTGTTAGGTAACAATAGTCTAGAGTGTGTATAGGGATTGGACAGGTTAGGGGGTGGGGTACTCCTCCGTCCCATATCTTGCCTGGTAGATATTGCACCTTGTCCATAGATTCTGTATCTTGAATGGCCATGGACTAGTCACATGGCATTCACTGTTTTTTGCTATGTTGCTGGACATGGCCAAGAGAGCTAGTTGCATACCTGTAGCACCCAATGCATGCAGAGCAGTCTGAAAAGTGTGGAGATGCATCATGGTGTGCGCATTGTGGGTTTTTCCAAGCGTTAATGCTACAGAAATAGGTTTAGACTATTTGCGACAAGGAAGTTTTGAACGGTGTGAGTGAATGCTTAACACAGGCATGCAACTTTTCCTCGGATCGGCTGATTTCCTTGTTTTTCACTTCACACTCGTGTCATTGAAAGTTGAAAAAACACTGTGCAAAATCTCGTAAAGTTTGGAATTTCCGTGTTTTGTTGGCAAAGTGCAAGTTAAATGCCTGTTAGCAAATTTCATGTTCAAGCACACATATACTTCATTGTATTTAAACCAACCCCAGCAGTCCTCTGTTCTTCACCTGTTCCGGCAAAGTGAGGACTGTTAATGTTATACAGTTATTGCTCCTTAACCCTCCTCAATCCTCTAAAATCCTTTGGGCGGTTCTTGGAGAATTTTGGAGGATTGAGAATGAATGGCAAAAGTGTAGGGCTGATTGTGAAGGATGCCTTGTGTGAAGGTCGCAGGTTGGACCTTGTGTTGTTGATGATCAGTCATGCATAAATTTAGCCCGACATTTACTTTGAACTGCTCGAGAAAGCTATTTACACTGCCTCAACATATTGGCAGGAATCGGCAAAGGATCTTGAAGGATTGAGGAGCTGGGTACTTCTCAATTTGAGCATAAGTGCAAAAATTGGAGGATTTTGGAGAATTGATGACGAAGGCAAGTTTTTTGCACTAGGGCGACTGGAGGATTGAAGGTATGCCCCAGCAAATGGCCCTGGTGGGTCAGGGTTAAATAAATCAAGCAGAATGTGTAAAACAGGTTTTATGACACAACTTCATGTCCTAACTGCTTTCTCTTGTGGTATTGTAAAACTAGCCTGTCTTTATGATCCATGGACAGTTCTATTTTCCTTCAACTTTACCATGGGACAAATAGAACGCTTCATGGAACACCATAGGAGAATTTGCATGTAACTCAAACCATGGAAAGTTGGAGTATTTGATTGGTGACATTGTCAGAGAGTTTTCCTCTGTGTTGGACATTCGCCAGATTTGTCTTCATCCTCCAATCTCACCCTTGAAGACGACATAACTGTTTACATATTGCCCTGTAGTTCATTTAGGAAATGCTTTTCAGACAGAGTCCACGGGAATAGTTGTTTTTTGGCTCGCCTCTTAGTTCACCATGCTGTTAAAACATCCTATAAGTCAAGACTCAGTCCACTTCAATACCTGCATGAGTTGCAGGGTTGGTCCTGTACTTTCAAAGCATTTACAAATTTCTTCCAGGTACATTGAAGCTGTGCGGAGACTCATAGCAGCTGGTGTGAAGCCCCTGAGAACGATCCACTTGACATTCATGCCAGGTCAGTTTTACCTGACGTTTGTGGCACTCGCTGGAAACATTTATCATGCCTGAGACTTTACACAGCACTCTTAAGTTGCCATTATGCAGTGACCTGTACACCATGGGTTGGGTTGTGACATATTTATAAACCCTGTGTACTCAGTGTTGTATGAAGGCTTGTGAAAAACATTAGTACAGCGGGACTGTATAAAGTATAGATTGTGGGTTTCTAAACACACCAGGGCACCCAAGAGAGCTGATGAATTTTTTCAGGAGTCTTTGACAGAAGTGAGTATACAGTAATGATTAAAAAAATGTTGACGAAGGGCAGAACACCCAATATAAAGACAAAATCTCCTTGATGCAAAAAAAGACGTCTCACGATATTAGGCATTCGCTATTTTTGTTTTTTCATGTTGTTTTTTGCAGATGAGGAGGTTGGTGGCATCCAAGGTATGATGAAGTTTTTGGACCATCCATCATTCCTACGACTCAACATGGGCTTTGGTCTTGATGAAGGTAAACTTGAGTGAAATTCAGACGATTGGTGGGCTTGTTGAAACCATTCTAGGTCCAAATAGGGATATGGTGGAGTCCCCAAGTTTTCACAAGTCAGAGTTGTAATGACTCAAGTAAATCACTCATCTTGAGTGTGACTCAACTGACAATTTTTGGCCACTTGACTTGAGACCTGACAGCTAAAAATGACTCGACTCCAGTCATTTTAAACAAATGGCTCAACTCGAGTCACTCACCCGACTCGAGTGAAAGCTAACAAGACTCCGGTCCCAAAAATAAAAGCAAACTTGTTTACCCCCCAAAATTGGCAATAACTTACAGTGCTGGTTCATAATGTTCATGTCATGTGTTATCATCAAGAGTAAGATGAGGTGTAACCACATGTAGTTACTCAGAGGTCAATTTCAAAATGTCCCCCAGTGACTTTCTCTCTTGTTTTTCTTAATGGTATCGTTTTTAAATATTTGTGACCTGAATTGACTTGAGCTAAATACTTGACTCAACTCAAGTCACTACTTTACCGTGACTTGACTCAACTCATCTTGAGTTACAGTGCTGCAATGACTCGAGTCACAAAAATCAGTTACTTGTTACAACTCTGTCTCAAGTCAAGTCATAAGCTGTTCAGATGAACCCTGACAAAAACAACACCAACTTCCCGGCTGTTGCTCAATCTGTTTCATGTAATAGGCTGTGAATGGACTCATGACAGGACTTGAAGGTAGTCCAGATTTTGTATGTCAGAGATACCACCGAGCCTTTTGTAAGTCAAATCATGCGACGAACAGTCACAAAGGAGTGACTTTGTCACTTCAGGTCATCAGTTGCATCACAAAGTGACATGTCGTAGATAGTTCACACCATGCACTGACAAACTGACGTATTATGTGTTCAAAATCTATGGATGGTACGTCACTCCGTGGTGTACCAAAACTATCTTACACCTCACTTCATGATGAAACCGACCATTTGAATGGTGGGTCACTAGGCTTGATGAGACTTGGTGACTTCTGCTTGAGTTGGGATTGACTTTGAAAGCAACACTGTGGCATGGACTGGCTTCTGTCTTTTATGTTTTCAACTTGTTGAAATCCTTGTGTCATGTTTCCATACCTAATTATGTACACGTACACACTGTGGTTGATATGAGCACACCATCCAGTGCAGGTCGGTGTGCTCGCTTGGGAAATCGTACATTAGTTTTGTTCTCTCTTGTTTTCCTCAGGTTTGGCTAACCCTACCAACAAGTGTACTGTATTCTATGGCGAACGGGCACCTTGGTGTAAGAACTCAAGCCTGACAATTTTTCACCTAGTCATTACTGATTTTACCTTGACAATCTCATTTTCAACTGGACAGAATTGTCCAATACAAAGTTAAACAGTCTTCAAATCCCATTGTTTTACACGAAAGATGTGTACTTTACTTACATGCAAAATTGCATGTGTGTGTGTTTTTAAAAAAAAACAATATCAGTGTCACTTTTCTTCATTTTGAAAATTGTCCAACCATTGACTGATTGTGGTAACCACTGTTACAGTGGATTCGAGCCAGCCACCCTATCATGGCAAAACTCTGTGGTCAAGAAGTTAAAATGTCTGCAACAGTAATCAGGAAGTTGTGGGTTTGAATCCCACTCAAGCAAGTTTTTTTTTTCAGAACTCTTGGACCACACTGAGAACACATGGGGAATATACACATCAGTGTCAGGTTGAAACCTTGAGGTAATATTACATTTTCAGCCCTTTTCCTCTACTTTTTTCTCCTGCAGGGTTGGAAGTGAAATGCGAGGGAAATCCAGGTCATGGATCGCGCTTCATTGAAAATACTGCTGCCGAAAAGTTGGTAAGTTTTCAGTGTGATCGTTTCTCATAAAACAACAGGAACATCTACAACAAGTTTGAATTCGCATTAACAATTGTCCTATTTCAAACTGCACTTGATTAATGTAAACTATGAGTACTAAGCAAGCTTAAAGTAACTATGAATTTGTACGTGCCTGTTGTGTGGTTAGAGTTCAAAGAAAGAGTTTCTGCATAATTTACAGTTAAGAGTTTGGATACTATTGGATTATATACACTAGTGGTTGTCATTTGATGAATGAAAAGTTAAAGAATTTGCCAGCATCTCAAATGTACTCAGCGTTCAAAGCCAGACTCAGAAGTGCCAAATGTTGAGCCTTGGTAGTCCTTTTGTACATGTGTAGAGTGTTATGCAGGGAAAAGGTTGAAAAAAGGAAACAGAAAAGTTATTAAGGCGTCATTACTGTGCCATTCAAACTCCGAATTCCCTGGAAACAAATTAAAATGAAACCCTAATTTCTCCTGAAGGTGAATGATCTGTTGTATTTCTTTCAGCAAAAGGTGATCAACTCTTTCCTCGCTTTCAGAGAGGAAGAAAAAGCCAAGTTAGTGGTGTCTTACTTTTTGTAATTAGTTCCTGACAAAACCCTGATACGCAAACACGAGAGTGGCATATTAAAAAAAAGATGACGGTGCCAAGCTGTATTACCGAAAATGGGTCACTTGGGAGACATTCCCTTAAGAAAGTGCACAATCTTTACTGTCCCATAATTAAATATTCCCTAGTTTGATCTGAACCAAACTTTGGATGTTTCCATTGTAGACCCGAATCTATCATCTTTTCAAAATTTAGACAATAAAATTCGGCCTCCTTCTGGTAGATGGGGCATTAAGGAGACATTGAAATGTCTTCCTTACGACCGATGTCTCCCCAAGGTCGAAAAATTTTCCACCAAATGTCTCCCTAATGACCCATTTGTAAGAATCATGGGCACGCTGATAAAACAGGTGCAAGAGAACAGAGGAGTATGAGAGCATTTTTGAAGTACACACCCTACGTCCAAAATTTTGCTCAGATAGTTTTTTTAATGTAATATTTCCATGACGACAAACATGTGACCCACCGTTCAGAAACCAGGCTGAAGAATAATAAGTTATTATTCGAAAAATGACACCAGTATACGCCTAAACAGTGCTAAATTCCACAATTTTCATTGCTTAGAACTACCAAAGAGGAATCATCAAACGTCAAAATTACCCACTTTAACCTGGTTTAGGAATGGTAGGCCACATTCTCTCCTGAACACCAGTTAAATGTGGATGGTGCCCATTGTGAGTAACTTTGCCGTCCCGTGTCGAGTAGTGTACTATTGTATTGAGGTCATTAAGTCTCATCCAAGCAGATATATGACTTGAGGAGTGACTTAAAAATTGCTGATGGACCACAACATTTTTCTTACACGGAATGGTGATTGAAAAATCTTTGTTTTGAAATCTCAACATTTCCTTTTCTTCAATTGTGTATGTCAGCAATAATTCTTTTGCATGTAAAAAGAATTGTTTTCAATGTTCTGTTGATTATTGACAAATAAATTACATTGTTTCATTTTTATTATTTGCTCTAGAATGGTTGGATGTGCAACGCTTGGTGATGTAACATCAACTAACCTAACTATAGTGAAGGTAACTTCGCAAATTCACACTTTTGAAAGAGTCAGTCCCTCTCCCAAGATCATTAACAGCTGTGTGCCCCAGGTTGCGCACATAGTCAGTTGGCGCAACCGTTAATGCTACACCTAAATCTTCTGAATCTCCAGCATACTCTCAACTTGTTAGTAATCTTCTGATACCAGTTGTCAAATTTGACGTACCGGTTTTGCTTGTTGTGTTTCACGCATCTGGAACACGAGACTTGAACACATTTAGTGGTCATGCATGAGAATGCATCAATTTGTATTTGAAATGTGGAAGACCGCACACAGTGCTAGAGGTTGCTGTTTCCGTGTTGTTGTTTCGACACATCACTGGCCTGAAAAACTTGCCCTACTCGCTACTTTTTATGGAGGGAAGTCTTCTCATCATAGAACAAATATGGGAAGAACTCTGATGCAAAAAGATTTATCACCTTTTGAGAATAAAAAGCCTCTGAAGACTTCAAAACGATATGATGAACTGAACTGAAGTGAATGTTTGTTATTCATCTAAATGTTTGATTGTCTTCTCGTCCAGGGAGGCATTGGACACAATGTTGTACCCAGTGAATTTCATGCCACATTCGATATTCGTGTTTCACCGGGCACGGACATGAAGGTATGCATGACATGCCGGCAATCATCCCGGATGGTCTGTGCTTTTTCCTCCAGGGTGGCGTCGCACAAAATGTAGTGCCAAGCGAATTCCAGGCAGTATTTGATATTCGCGTCTCCCCAAACGCAGATGTGAAGGTATACGCATGTCCTAGAAATCATGCAGTTTTTGTGCTTTGACCCGAGTACTTTGCTACTTCCGGCCGTGAAGTGATATTACGTCCCTTTTCAAAGGTTACTTGCCACCACCTCTGCAAAATTTACGTGTATTTGTAACATGCAAACTTGTTAGTTGTTAACCTTAAGCGAGTTACTGCCTTCCCTGAGCTTATATCCAGCCTTCAAAGTAATTAGTAACTTAGTAACCGCAGTCATCATGCTTGTTTGTAAGCCTACGCTAGGCTGTTGACCTGATGTTCATTCATGGGACGACCACAAACTTCTTAGTTATTTCAATTATAGGAACTGGAAGAAAAGATTGCCAAGTGGACAAGGGAGGCCGGAGAAGGAGTGACGTACCACTTTGTCCAGGTATGAGAGGGTAGAGGATAAACCTCATTCCCTGGGTATTGAGCAGTATGCTCCCATTCCAATCTGCTATCTCATTGCAACACTCGTTTGCATACCCCAAAATTTGGGCTGCGTACGTTAATGAGGAATAGCCTGGTGCTTTACCATGCTGTTATTCAGCATTTGTAATAGTATGTGGTGTCTGGCACAACAACAGAGGCAGTTCGTTACGGCTTGACGTATCGTAAATGTGAGCTTTTTTTCTTAAAGATACAAATCTCTCCCAGATAATATCTGGTGTCAGATTTCACATAGATATTTCAACATTGAAAAAATGGGATTATTTCATAGGGATATTGGACGTAATAATTCACGCTAAATGTGAAAATGTACGACACGTTGATATGTATAAATCATTTCCTCGTTTTTGCTACATCTTATCTTCTGGGAAGGAAGTTTCCTATCCAGGGGTAACTGTTGGAAGAGAAAAAGGACATAATGTAGCCCCTGGGGACAAGGTTTGTAGAGGTGGAGTGTTTGAGGAAAGGGGCTGGCCAGTGATTATGATGCTTGTCTCGTGTGGGACAATCCAAACTATGCTGTGATCTGTACTTTTTATAAAACACAGTGCATGGTTTTTGAAATACATTTTCATGTTTCAATACGTATGCTGTTTTTTATTTTTTTTGTGCAATTGGAGAGGCAGTTTTCATCTTTCATGCAATTTAGGAAGTCGTTATTATAATCTGGAAGACATCGTTTGTATCAGCCCCCAACTTGTCAAAATATTGTTGGTCGCAGCTTGGGTAATCCCAACTGCTCGATATTCCCCATTCAAGGACTCGGCAATACAATCTCTGATCCCATTCGTGAGGGTAAAGTGACTTGCCCAAGGTCAGAACGTGCTGTCACCGGCTGGATTCGAACCCCTGACCCTATGATCAGAAGCTACAAACCCCTAACCACTAGGCCACATGCCCATAGAGGGATGGAGGGATGAATGAGAAAGATTAGTCTAGACTTTTTCAGTTTCGCTTTTCACGTCCTTAAGTGCTTCAGCAGGGAGATTCAATATTGCAGTCCCACTATCCGAATGAAATCTTCCTGATTTTCTCCTCCCCAGAAAAATGACGTTCACATCACCGAACTTGGAGACAAGAATGTCTGGTGGAAGGCGTTTGAAGGGGCATGCAAAGACCAGTAAGTGTGCAGGAGCTGTTTGCAATAAATTGTGACCACCCATTCCAAAGCCAGACTGAAGTATATAACTTTGAAAAGTTTTGGCTGTTGACAGTGGCTCTCCCCCCTCGGTTTATCTTCGTACTCAAAAGCGATCCACTCTGTAGACCCTGTCTGCAGAGAACTTTGGTCCAGTAGTTACAGACAATGAAAGTTGTGGACTCGGCATTGTTCATGCTTATATTGAGATCATTTCCCAGATAATTGTGTATAATTCATGAGCCTTGCTTAAGAATGGTTGGTCACAGTTGCTGACAGAAATGAGTCTGGCTCGTAATTATTGAATGTATGCTAAACACTGAAACTTCCGAATTCTAACAGAAAAATTGTCTGGTTTACCCATTATTCTCTGTAAGTTTGAATGCCTAAATTATGTACGACTGTTCAAAAACAATCTCAAAAAGTCTCTCACATGAAATTTGTCACAAGGAGTTTTATTTATTATAAACTTGTCTGTCCAGCCTGATACTAGATCCCAATGTTGGCAAGTCACATTTGGCTCAGCATCGGCACTAGGCCACCGGTTTTCATCTCTTAAGGTTGTGCTGGACTTGACATCTGGGGTCATAATAGAGTTTCTGAGCACAGGTGTTTGTTAAGCGTGGAATGTATATTTGGTTAGCAGAAATAGGCCACCAGCTAATCTGTGCAGCAGTGTATGAACTGGCTGAGCAGTAGCAGTTGTTAAGATCTGGGGTTCAGTTTTAGCTTAAATTTCAGGCTTTAGCTCCATTGTTTGAGATCTGGGAGTATTTATATTTGCATTTACCATATCTCTTGTATTCTCATGATTGAATGCCTGCATTGGTTACTGCCCTCGCTCTGACTCATGCTGCTTTTGTCTCAGCCACAGATGGACATACGCCATCTGTGATGAAAAAGGAATGTTAGCAGGCCACTCAAAGTGTCCCGGCCTGGTCAAGAGTTTACGCGTCGCTTAAGTTCGCTACCTCGATCCGATGGGTTGATAGCAAGAGCCGTTCAAATATTCATTTCTTGCCTTATTGTCACAGAACTTTAATAACTCAATAAGTTCAATGTGCCACTACATTCAATTATTTTTTTAAGTCATTTCAGACGATGCAATGTTTGACCATAAGCCACCATGTATCTGTATTGTATGACACTTCACCAAGTAACTGGCGTAGCGCATCATTCACTTGGGCCAACCCCAAGTAAAGCACGGGAGTCACGTGGATGTCAAATATAGTCTCGTTGGCAAGAGCAAGTACCTGAAAGAATGGAACGTGCTGTTCCAGCACAGTTCTGTCAACCTGTTTTCCACCGTATATTCCATCCAGGGGTGTGGGCCTGGAGATTGAGGTCTTCCCAGCGGCCACCGACAGTCGCTTCCTGAGGGCGGCCGGCTACCCCTGCCTGGGCTTCTCCCCGATGAACAACACGCCCATCCTCCTGCACGACAACAACGAGTTCTTGAACGAGGAGGTGTTCCTGACAGGGATCCAGATCTATGAAGGGATCATCGCCGCACTCGGCAACGTGCCAGCAAACGAGCAGGACCAGGACGGCATGTGAGAAGCAAGCTAGCACAGCGTGGGCGCGGGCAACCAAGTTGCCTGCATGCAGTGTGTAACTTTGGTGAACATCTCAAGTCGTAACGTGATGATTTCCCCAGTGTCATTTTGCCTAGTTACAAAGGCCTGTCTGTTCACTGACATGCCACACTTTGTCTACATACGTATTTGTCTATAGAGCTAGTTGGGGCCCATGGTCTCAGTTCACACCAGAGGAAAGCAGATATGTAAACATAGTGTGAGGAAATCAGTACAGAGGTCTGTTAATATACTTCCAAGATGCCTTCAGAGAGAATAATTCCAACGATCATAAATTCTGCAGAAAATCTATGATTATTAAATAATTTCCGATGCACCGGCATCTACTTAATGACCTAATTGTGAGAGACATGAAAAAAGAAGTAAAAGTAAAACAAAAGGAGAAAAATTAACATTTTGAACATTAACAAGAGAAAAACCAGTCTCCTGAAGACGGACAG